GTCTGTAACCATTGGTCTGGAAAGTGGCTTCTTTTGCGGTGGGAGGAGGTGCATCGTCAGGGAATGCATTCGGAGTGTCATAAGTCTGACCGATAGGGCAATATTTATATATGTGTAGTATCCGTGTTTATTAGACATTATCCTGGCGTATTAGTAAAATATTGAAAGCTTGTCTCTCTCTATTTATCCAAGAAATTTATTTAATATTTGCAATTTCAGGTGAATCGACCTTTGGCCATGAAAAAAGATGGCATCCAGACAAGGAAACGAAAACCCAAAAATCTCGCAAAGACGAAAAACCCAATCAAGACTGAGCCAAACATAAACGGTAGGAGAGCTTTTAACTCTAAATTTAACACATTGACAAGCAAACACAAAATAACTCCCGGTTGGCAGTTTTTATTATGAGGCCGACGACGAGTTATCTCGTGTTTGATTTTTTCTATTACATTATCATCTGCGGGCGACAACGACGAGTTTATTCGCAAGGATAGTCTTAATGTGAAAACAATGTTATGACTTCCGTTGAAGCTAGAAATCAAGTCCTAGTAAAGAAATACTTCGCCTAAGCTGCTTATTATGAAGTTAGCGTTTGAATTTAGATTTATTAATTGACTTCTGGCAGTCAAGGTGTTAACAAAATCAATAAATGACTTGCGACTAGGTCCAGTGCAAGAGTCTCGTGAGCCCCCACCTCGAATTTATGACACCCCAAGGATGTATAATACTGGATCCCCCACTCTAATACATCTCAGTTTTCGTAAAGCAGTATACATATAAAATACAAATTTTATTGTAACCTAATTATGTACAATAATGGATTATATATAAGTGAACGATTCAAGTAGAAAAATTGAAAATACATATTATTATTAAAATACACCTTTAAGTGCCGAATCTAGGTGCATAGTCAATGTTGTTGCTCCCATGTCACTAGAAGTTTCGGGTCGAAATAAACAACGGACTTCTTCAATGCGCGACCCGACCGAATATGATCAATATTCGGCCCGCACCTAGAACAAAATCTGCCACTAGCTTTAGGACGTACATTATATAAGTTGCCCCAGTAAACAGGGGCAACTTATATACAATGTATCTAAATACAAATTAGAGACATGTCATAACAGATCATTCCATCTTAAATCAACAATGTTTTGCAGCAATTTTTAACTTCAACTTGAATTTTTTCTTGTTAAAAAGGTAAATAATTTTAGCGCATTTAACATTATAGATATATTTAACACCCCCTTCAACAAGGTAAGATGTGGCCCAAGGCCGAGTTTTAAAGTGGGGGAATTCGAGCCCGTAGGCTCGGCCAAAATTTTACGTATAAAAAGGGGTCGGATACTTGTTTCCCGAGACGAGAGTCTACCCTTCGACATAGCCTCGTCTGGGGATCCTCTCTGCTCGGAGGTAGAGAGTTTGACCATACACAACTGGAAAAGATACCAGCTGGACTCCGATCCAGCCCCGGAAACCAGAGTTATGGATAAAAAATAGTTAATTCTATGTAGAGTTTTTGCGAGACTTAGCATGGGTAAAACAAATTCACGGATTTGGACAAAAAATCTTAGAATGACGTCAAAATACACAAAAAAACCTTTCATTCTTTAATAGTTGTGCTTGCTTTTATTTGTAACGTATATAAATGTAAGTATTGACCCTGATCCGCAATCAGGCTTCACCCCAATTCGTTTATGTTATATATATATATATATATATATATATATATATATATATATATATATATATATATATATATATATGGATGCTGAGGTCAAGACCAGTGGCGACAGCCTGTTTCATATTTGAATGCAATCTTCAAGACAGAAATCATTACTAATCAAAAATGGACAAGCTTACTACAATTCATCGACCTTCAGTATTTTTAAAAAGAATTTTGAATTGTTTGTGTGTGTGTATATAAAGGTGCCGATTTTTGTAAATACGGACTTCCATACATAACATTATCAGACAATAAAGGCAGAAACCTCAGTATATATTAAATTTATTGGTAATTTTCTAACATTCTCAACATTCTCAACAAGCGCCTCCGTAAGGAAGACTATAAAGCCCAAATATCTAAAATTCAATAAAATATTAGAATGCTTGAAATATTTAGAATTTTTAAGATTACTGAGTAATTAAAAAAAAAATATATCTAAAAATTTCGTTTACGTTGTATTCGTCATGTAATTTTACCGTAATTGTTTCCCATACATAAATCTCGCAGACATCAGGTTACCGATAGATGTGCCAAAAACTCATAAAAATCCCAACCTCTGTTGTCTGCGAAATTTAAAATTAAAAGTAATATTTGTTTTAATACAGATTAATTAAATTTTGAATGAGTTAATCCTCCACAAATAAAGTTTCAGGAAAGTATATTTTATCTTTGAAATATTTTTTAATAAATTTTTTTTCCTGATGAACAAAGAATATTCCAATTTAAATTCGGTTTGAAATTCCCCAAAGTATTGGAAATATTAAATTTTATCTA